TCTGTGCTTCCTGGATTTTGATGCCTGTTTCCTTCCCCAAATTAGGGAAGTTCTCTGCTATAATTTGCTCCAATATACCTTCTGCCCCTCTCTCTCTTTCTTCTTCTTCTGGGATCCCAAATATTCTAATATTGTTTTATCTTATGGTATCACTTATCTCTCGAATTCTGCCCTCGTGATCCAGTAGTTGTTTATCTGTCTTTTTCTCAGCTTCTTTATTTTCCATCATTTGGTCTTCTATATCACTAATTCTCTCTTCTGCCTCATTTATCCTAGCAGTTAGAGCCTCCCATATTGATTTCACCTCATTAATAGCCTTCTTGATTTTGACTTGGTTAGATTTTAGTTCTTTTATTTCTCCAGAAAGGGTTTCTCTAATAACTTCCATGCTTTTTTCAAGCTCGGCTGTATTTTTATAATTGTCATTGTGAACTCTAAATCTGACATCTTACTAATGTCCATATTGATTAGGTCCCTGGCAGTCAGTACTGCCTCTTGTTCTTTTTTCTGAGGTGATTTTTTTCTGTCTTGTTATTTTGTCCAGAGGAGAATAGATGAATGAGAGATCAAAATGCTAATGTGGTAAAAACAAACCCAGAATAATATACACTAAACAAATCAGAAAAGACCTGAAACTGGGGGGTAAAAGTAAGGGAAAGAAAGAAAAAAAATAGAATATGATCAAATATGATCAGGCTGGTGAATAGATCAGTGCCACACACTAGATTTTGGGCATATATTGGTCCGTTAGAAGAAAGTGCCTCCCAAAATTTTAAATAAAGAAAAACTTATATATGTATAAAAATAAGGGTAAATACGATGAAGGGATGAAATATGACTGTAAAGATGAAAATTATAAAAGATTTTATAAAAGGAATTGATAAGATAAGAAGTTGGTTGAAAAAAGGAAAAGCAATTAAAAAAAACAAAAGGGAGAGAATGTGATCAGGCAGGAGACTAGAACAAAGTCTTACACTGGAGATTTAGGGTATATTTTGGTCTGTTAGAAGAAACTGTATCCCCAAATTTTAAAAAGATAACATATATATACAAAAACTAAGGTTAACTACAATGAAGGGATAGAATATGACTCTAAAAATGAAAAATAAGGGGCGCCTGGGTGGCTCAGTTGTTGAGCTTCTGCCTTCAGCTCAGGTCATGATCCCAGGGTCCTGGAATCGAGCTCCACATCAGGCTCCCTTCTCAGTGGGAAGCCTGCTTCTTCCTCTCCCACTCCTGCTGGTTGTGTTCCCTCTCTCGCTGTGTCTCTCACTGTCAAATAAATAAATAAAATCTTAAAAAAAATAAAAATGAAAAATAAAAATATTTTTTAAAAAAGAATTGTTAAGATGTTGGTTCAAAAAGGGAAAAAGAAAAATTAAAAAAATAGAAAAAGAAAAAATAAAGAAAATTTAAAAAATTAATTTTGAAAGACTAAAGAATCAGGAGGAAAAAAGCCATGAATTCTCTGTGCTGTATTCCCCTAGCGCTGGGGTTTTTCCATTCTCATTGATTGGTAAACTTGGTTTTGGCTGGCTGTTTTTGCTGGTCTTCTGGGGGAGGGGCCTGTTGCCATGATTCTCAAATGTCTTTGCCTGAGGCAGAATTGCCCCACCCTCATAGGGGCTGGGCTAAGTAATCTGCTCAGATTTGCTCTGGTAGCTTTTATTTCCTGCAAACTTTCCATACAGCTTTGGAGGACTAGAATGAAAATGGCAGCCTCCCAATCACTGACCCTGGAGGAGTCAAGAGCTCGAGGCCCCGCTCCTCCGTGTGCCCCCAGAGAAAAGCTGTCAATCACTCTCTTCTTCCCATTCTCCAGCCGCACTCCGTGCTCACCTGGCCTGTGACTGAGCATTTCTATCTCTGGCACAGCACCCCATTTGGAGTCTCCAAACCCAGCAGATTCCTGCAGTGCACTCCTGTGCCGCTCCTCCCTGGGGGAGGAAGGGGAGTCTCCCCGGATCTGCCACTTGTTGGGTCCCTGCTGGAAGAGCAGTGGCCCGACTGTGCCGTGGATCACAGTTTATGGCAATGCTGAGCTGACAGCCCACTCCTCAGCTCCATCTTTGCAGCTGGCTTCCCTGCTCTGATACCTAGGAGCTCTGCCGCACTCAGGCACCCCCGGTCTTTCTGTGACTCCGAGGATCCTGAGACCACACTGTCCCAGTGAGGGTTCCACCCCCTGCTTAGCCACTGGAGCAACATCCCTCAGCGGTGCAGACTTCTAAAAGTTCCGATTTTGTGCTCTGCTGCTCTATCACTTGCCGGTAGCTGGTTCCCTCCCCCCTCGGTCTGTCTTCCCAAATACTGCCTTGGATTCACTTCTCTGCACGTCCTACCTTCCAGAAAGTGGTCGCTTTTCTGTTCAGAGAGTTGCTGCTATTCTTTTCTTTAATCTCCTGTTGAGTTTGTAGGTGTTTAGAATGGTTTGATACCTATCTAGCTGAATTCTTGGGACCAGACGAAATTTAGGTCTCCTACTCCTCCTCCATCTTGCTCACCCCCCTTCCTATGGCTTAAAGAACCATGTATAAACCAATCAGTTAAACATGTATATCTGTGCTTAGGATCTGTCCTGGGAAGTCTAGACCTGTACACCAACTGCCTGACATCTCCAGTTGGATTTCTAATATGCATTTTAAACCTTTCATGTTTCCCTAAGTTCTTCCTCCATCTCTAGTTACCCAACTGAGTAAGACAACATGAGCGATCCTTGATTTCTTTTTCTCTCACTCCCACTATGCCCATACCCAATCCAACAGAAAATTCCACTGACTCTACCACCATAATAATACCTCTTGTTTTATTCACTTCTTTCCATCATGACATCTAAGCTGAGGCATTATCTCTTTCTTCCTGGGTTCTTCAAATAGTCTTGTCCTGTGAACCCATTCTTCTAACCACTACCAGAGGGCTTGAAAAAAATGTAAATTAAAATATGTCATTCCTCTTCAAAGTTTCCCATTGCACTTGGAATAAATTCCAAATTCTAGGCCTACATTTTCTATTACTCTTCACTTTGCTCATTGTGCTTCAGCCACACAGACCTCCTTTCTATTCTTATAACAGACAAATAGTTTCTTCTTTAATTTCTTTGTATTTGCATTAGATGTTTTTATTTGTTTATTTGTTTGTTTCTGCTTGGAATGTTCTGTTTTGGTTATTCAGATCTCAGTTTAAATGTCATCTCCTCAAAAAAGCCTTACCAGACACCAAATTGAAGTTAGCTCTATTCCTGATCACACTTCCATGCCACAACATTAAATGTTTTTACACAACTTAATATTTTTCTAAATTATCTTTTTCCTTCATTTGTTCACTTGTTTATTGTCTGGCTCCCTCCCTTGGAATGTAAACTCCCCAAAAGCTAAGATTTTGTCTAGCTTATTTACCCCTCTAATCTTAGAACACCTGACACATAGTAAGAGCTCATTAAAAGTACTGAATGAATGAATGAGACTGAGGGAGGGTAAGGTGCCCAAAGTCACAGAGCTAAATGTAGCCAAACCACAGTTTCAACCCAGAACTGTGTGGATTCAAAGCTCATGCTCTAGAGCACTTGACTCTACTGTCAGAGAAAGCAATGTGACCAGTGCTTCAGTTTACAAAATACTTTTAAATATGCTATCCAATTTGCTCCTCAGTGTAAATTGGTATGATAGAATCATAGCTTTGTTTTTGCTAGATGTGGATGTTAAAGCTCAGAAAGGTTTAGTAACTTATCCAAGATCACTACCAGAGCAATGGAAAGAAAGGTGAATAGCAAGGCAGGAATTTCATTTCCCAGGAAATATGTATTTCTTTCTGTAAGGCTGATGATGTTCTTATGCTGATAATCAGAAGGATTTTATACATGAGAATGGCTCATTAGGGCCATTCTTTAGGAAATCTAAGTGGGGAGCTGGGAGTACATTGTATTAAAGCTAAACAAAGCCCAGCTCCTGAGGAAGATGGAAGTATAGAGCCTCATGTTAACTGTTCTGGGTTTGCACAAGGATCTCCAACACACAAAACAATGTGGTTTGGAATCCTTGAAGGTAACAGAGAGACTTCACTATCTTACAGCAAATAAAGTATTTTATAGTAAACTGGGCATGTCCTAATCTTAGAACTGTGTCTTTCTACAGGTCTAGCTTTCTTGCCTGCCAGTGTGTCCTACCTCATTGGCACCAATCTCTTTGGTGTGTTGGCCAACAAGTTGGGTCGGTATGTAGTCTGGGAATCTGTGGAGAGTAACAGGAATGTAAGATGGGAGAGCCTTTTTGAGGTTGTCCCTGCACCTAGGATAATGAACAGCTTCTCTGAGGTTGAAAGTTTAGGACAAGTACACATGGATACAAGTTGCCTACAGGGAGGATAGGAGTGGTAGGTGGTGAGGGGGCTATGGATAAAGTAAGGCCCTGAGTTGGTTGTGAATATATGAGGGATAACCTTTACTTTCCAGATGTTTGTTGTCTAGTTGAAGAGCTAAAATAACACCACAGAGAACAACTATGAAAAAGCTCAGTACTTTGGGGGCAGTGGTTGTAAAACTATGTTCCCTGGAACCCTAGAGAGTTCTAAAGAGGTACCTCAGAGGCCACCAAGTGGAAAGGGTTTGAGGGCTAAAAAGTATGAGTCTGGATCTTGTTCTACTACAGTGAGAACAGCTTCAATTTTCAATTATATCTTTGAAGCTCAGCATATAGATTTTTAAGATAAGCTTAAAAACCCCTACTATAGGAAATCAGAAAAGGAAAGAAGTTTGGTATTTTTTGTGGGTTTTGAGATGGACCTTGAAGACCAGATAAACTATGAATAGGTGAGAGGTAGTCTGAATTGGGAAACAGCATGAATTAAGTTTGAAGGTTACTTCCAAGGGGCAGGAACCTTCTGAGTAAGCTGATTCCTCTGCTAGGGGAAGAAAGAATATGTCCCATTGCACCTCCTCTGCTTCTACTATGGAAAGAGATATGGAGCCAGGCAAGGAGGAGGGCAGGGAAAGGGCTCACCTCGTTATAAACAGATCATGTAGAGATGTCATCATCTTCTCACATCCTAAGGGGTTCCTGGAATTCGGGGTGTAGGACTGACTAGTGTTGTGGAGATAGAGTGGCAGGTAGAAGGGATTTCTCCCTTTAGCACAGTTTGCTGATGGCTCTTTTCTTCCAGGTGGCTGTGCTCCCTGATTGGGATGATTGTAGTAGGCACCAGCTTGCTTTGTGTAAGTATAATAAGGTCTAGGAGAGAAGGAGAGAAAGGGAGAGAGAGAGAGACCCAGACATTTAAATACCATTTTCCTTTAAAATGAACAGGAGCTTAACTTGGCAATGACTGTTGGAAACTCTTTCTGCATGGGTAAGAATTTAGCTCTGGGAGAGATGCCACCAAGCATCCCATTAAAGGAGGTGGGGAAGGAGAGAAGAAGGGAGCAGCTGTAGCCAGAGGTCTGAGGCACTATGTACGGCCACATGAAACAATTCATGTTGTCATCTATTTATGGGGCCATCAAAGTGGTTCATTTTATGGCTTAATTTACTTATCTCACCCTAACAGGACCTCATAAGCCACCAGGGGAACCATCGTATGAGTTGCAGTCTCTGGTGCCAGAATGTTTGGTAGAAAAAGAAAAAAAGAAGAGCTTTCCTATTTTCAAGAGCCCCCTTCAAGCTCTCTAAGCCTTTATTTTCTCCTCCCCATATTGGGGATCATAAGCACACTTGCCTCCTAGGCTTAAAGGAGATGAGACTAGAGCTGTAAAGCACTGAGTACAGTGTTCAAGAAAGGCTGGAAGTCTTGATCAGGAGCATGAATTCCACATTCATTCCCAGCTTTGCCCCTTGCTGCTTGTAGGATCTTGAGCTAGATATGTCACCTCTTTTTGTTTAGTATCCTCATCGGTATAGAGAGGGTTCTGATAGCCTCTCATAGGACTGTCCATATAAACTACAGCACACAGTGGGCCCACAGTAAACCTTAACCCAAACTATTGATAAACTATAAATATCTTTTGAGGAATAATCCCTAAAATTTTATTAGCCACAAACATCTAGATGGTATGTTAAACCTCTGAGGGGTAAATGTGTTGGGGTAGCAGATTTAGGTAACAGGTGTTCAGGGAGGGACCTAAGGAAGTGGTGAAAGAGGAAAGAAGTCTTTCATTGGAGGTTTGGGAATGAGTTTCACAAGCTTGCTGAAGCAGCACCCCAAACCATGCCACCTGCTCCTCTAGATATTTTTCTTTAATCTGTTATTGGTAATTGGTTGTTGGTGTCTTTTCTTTGTCTTCTTGCTCCAGTAGCTACCAAATTAGGATTTAATTAAAACCTTTGAATGTTGTTGAGAGGAAACTCCATTCAGTGAAGAGTGAGGACAGAAGTATGTCTGGGAGGGGGGTTAAAGGAAGTGGAAGAAGAATTCATGCAATAGAAGAGGTCCATTATTATGTATAATGGAGTCAAATCTGAGATTTAGACTTAATCTTGCCACTTACTAGCTTTTTAACTTTGGATAGGGCATTTAACCCAAATGGCACCAATCTAGCTTTCATATTTTAAAATAAAGGTAAAGATTGTTCTTCATAAGGATAAGTGATAATCCAGATAGATAATATATGTGGTACATAGCACATGGTTAATAAATGTTTATCATGTCAAAACCCTCTGTTTTTGTGGTAACTAATTGGACTCCTGATAAACTCTTCCTTCTTCCCTGCTGCAGGTTCCTCTGGCTCACAATATTTTTGGTCTCATTGGCCCCAATGCAGGGCTTGGCTTTTCCATAGGTAAGAGTACTTTTAAAGGAGACAAAAAGCCCCTGAATTTTGGCTTTGGGTCAGATCAGAGGAGGTATATGGAAAGGCAGAAGAAGCAGGAGGGTGGATGGCAAAGGTGTGGGCTCCTAACTCCGACCAGGAATAGGTGTTAGTGCTGAGTGGGAGGATAGCAGGCAAAGGGAATAGACTAAAGGGAGGAGAAGAAGGAAGGGTGCCACAGAAAAGAGAAGGGACTGTGGGTAGAGCTGACAGTGTCCTGTTTCCTTTTGCCACAGGCATGGTTGATTCCTCTATGATGCCCATAATGGGACACTTGGTGGACCTGCATCACACATCAGTGTATGGGAGTGTCTATGCCATAGCTGATGTGGCTTTTTGTATGGGCTTTGCTATAGGTATGTTGGCAGGGGAGAGGGGAGCACCCAGGACTTGGTGTCCTATTTTCTCTTATCTACTGTTTACCAGCAGAGAGTAAAGCCAGGAGGCTGATTCTCCCAGGGTTCTGGAGATATTTGACTTTGGGACATCCTCTGGGCCACCCATTGCCCCTTGCATAGTGTTTTCTTTGTGATCAAGGGTCAATAAACACTTGTGAATTTGGTTTATTCCTCACAGGCCCATCCACTGGGGGTGCCATTGTGCATGCCATTGGCTTCCCTTGGCTTATGGTCATCATTGGGGTCATCAACATCATCTATGCTCCTCTCTGCTACTACCTGAGAAGCCCCCCAGCCAAGGAGGAAAATCTTGTAAGGGGCTCTGACTGTTGCTAAAAGAATAATAATCTTCTGTTTATTTGTTTGTTTTTCATCTCTCTCATTGCTTTTCATCGTATGCTATTTCCTCCCTCTTTGGAAGTCATTTTTGCTTTGCCATATTTTCTGATCCCATTTTCATCTTTATTTTTCCTTTGTGCTCTTCCTTATTTTCCCTTCTTTACTAACCACTTCTCCTCTTATACTGGGTGGTTAAGAAGGGCCCTAAGTAAAGAACAAAAATGAGAAGCTTATAAAGAGTTGGGGGCAGGGGCCATCAAAGGCATCCTATACTTTAGTTACCAGTAAAATGTGAGTTAATACATTATCTCCTCAAGGTGGGCAAAATTCCACTGGGCTCATTCATTCATTCATTCATTCATTCATTCATGTCTGCCATTACCCTTAGCAGGTCATCCTTTAAAGTACAAAACCCCAGAGAAGAGAACCATAACTTGTGATTTTAGTTAATAAGATACTTTATTGCAGCATGAGGACCCTAAGGGTCTGGGTGGCTTAATGATGGATGTAGGGGCTGATCACAGGGACGAAAAAAGACAGAGAGGTCTGATAGGGGATAGTACCAGTTTCAGCTGGCTCCCTGCTATAGCTTACACTACCACTGTTATGATTCAATTTAAAACATACCAGATATTTGTCTTGACCAGGATTGCTACACCTAGGTGCCTTGGGAGGTCTGTGCCTGCAAATGAAGCAGAAAAAGAATCTTATGCTTGTTTCTTGAATCTTTCTTGAGCAACACTAGACGTGGATGGACTAGTGAGGGAAGGGAACAGGGAGACTGGTAAAAGATATGCAGTAATTTCTCTTCCTGTGTCATGCTTCAGGCAATTTTGAGCCAGGACTGTGCCATGGAGACTCGGATGTGTGCAACTCAGAAGCCCACAAGGGAATTTCCTCTGGGGGAGGACAGCGATGAGGAGGCTGGCAGTGAAGAGTAGTAGGAGAAGGTGGTCTCCGAACCTTGTCACATGTGGATTCATCAGCTTTGGACTGATCACCAGATCACCATGGGCTGCTCAATAGGCTTCACTTCCCTTTCCCCTGGGTATCTCCTTTCCTCCCCTCCCACGAGTGCCATTCCTTGGTTCTCTCCTTACCTGTGTAACCCGTAGTTCTTCCTCTAAGCTTTGTTGCCTCAGGTGCCCATCTTTTATGAGAGGACGTAGTGATGCTTTCTCCTAGGCTGTTGTGAAGCTGATTAAACTTGAGCTGGTGGGTGCTGCAAGGAGTGACTTATTCCACAGGAATAGCAGTGAGCACAGTGTGCCCCTGAAACCAGTGGGGTGACTGACAAACCTCATTTCATTTGCTATCTGATTTTCTTTGACACATTCCCAGCAGACCATAAAACTTTTGTCCTCTGTTCCTCCATGTGGTCCTTCCTGAGTTTTCTCAGCTGAGTTGAGAAAGTGTCCTCAATGTTATACTGCTGCCAGATTGCCAATTTGGGAAATTGTTTGCCTGTTTTTTAGAAGCTGAGTGGTTTTTCTGTGGCTAAACCTATAGCTGTTAAAGTGATTTTGCCCTCAGTGAATGGAAGGCTGGGTTTACACCTTTCTTAGGAAAGGACAGAAAAAAATTATTGACTACAAGATTTTATTGGAGGAAGTGAAAAGCAACCACCCTGAAATCCCTTCCCACAATGGATTTCCTAATACAATGATTATAATGGGGAATTGTTCTCACTTGTCAATGAATAAGTTATTACCTAATTCAGACATGGTAGACTAAATGCTCTTATAGCAAAAGAGAATGTGTGGGCAAATACATAGATACTATAAATATTTTGACATTTTTTACCTTTTTGAAACATTTATTAAATGTGGGGTTTCAAAGAGATGGGAGACATGCTACCCCCTTTTAAGTAGCTTCCCATCTATTTGAGCAAACAGGATATACACAGTATAGAATTGATCAATACTGCAAGTTAGTATACACTCTGTGTTCAAGAACAAAGAGGTAGGGATGCTCATAGTCTGGGTGGGGAATAATGGTGGAAATGGAGGCAGAGGTAGGAATGGAAAGGCCCACAAGTGCAGGCTGTAGGGATACCTGGATATCAGATTGAGATGTTCAAACTTTACTCTGGAATGATATCTGGCTCTGATCATTGCACTCCTTTGCAGGAGTTTGGTGGGCTCAGGGCAAGCCTCAAATCACCAGAACACATTCAAGCTGAACCTCAATGAATCCTTATCACTTGGACAATGGATATCTGATTTGTGGATATGTTTTTAGAAGGTTAGCATTAACTAGACTTACCTGATTTTCAAAACCAGATGTGCTTATGTTGTCATTTAGTCAAGATATTATTTGTCTCAGAATTTGAAGAATCCCAAGGTAAAATTAGAAAATCCTTTGTCAAAATATGTAAGCTGTAACTAAATGTAGACTGAGTGAATGGCCACTGGACCCCTGTACAAAGAGGGAGTGAGGTAAGTTAGGATGCAGAGGAGTCAGGGGCACTGACAATGGTACACTCCTTACTCCTACCTGGGGAGGAGGATTTATAATAAAGACTGGGCTTGTTACAAAAACTGTTAACACATTTATAAAATAGGAAGAATTTTTAAAAGAGGAACTCATCCCTGACCTGCCAGTTAACATTGTTTAAGCAATATAAAACATATTTTGGGGAAAACAATGGGTATAAATTATAATTATAATTTATTGTAGAAAAATCAACATCATGTACTACAAAGTAAGTCAAGGAACTTTTTTTTTATTTTAGATCACAAATAGATCATAAACACAGTCTATGTATGGAAGAGTATAAAAAGGAGAATCCCATAAAAATAGACAATGGAATTGGTCTTTTTTTTTAAAGATTTTATTTTTTATTTATTTGACAGAGAGATAGAGAGCACAAGTAGGCAGAGAGGCAGGCAGAGGGAGAGGGAGAAGTAGACTCGCCACTGAGCAGGGAGACTGACGTGGGGCTCAATCCCAGGACCCTGGGATCATGACCTGAGATGAAGGCAGCTGCTTAACCAATTGAGCCACCCAGGCACCCCGGGATTGGTCTTCATCAGTGGCTTAATAAATGATATGAAGAAAATAATACATTATAAAGTTCCACATTCACAGGTGACACTAAGTTCTTCTAAACATGAAAATAATCAGTCCAGCAAAAATGAGTCACAATTAAGTTTTTTTTTTTAAGTAGCATAAAATGTCAGATGACCTCTCCTGTGGAAAGGATAAAGAAATGTATTTTCCCCTTTGGAAAGAGAGGAGTTGAAGAGACCATAAACATGTTTATAGGATGATAGTCTCTGAATTATCAATTATGATGCAGCAGAGAAGATAGTGGGACCAATGAGACATTGTGTTCAATAGGCCAGAGAAATTTTGGGCATTCTCAGAGGGAGTATTGGAAACAAACCAGAAGACATTTTGTTTCCAAAGTACAAAACCTGGGTGGAAGCCACAGCACCACAAATTAAGGCAGTGACTGTGGAGTTGGAGAAAATGTAGAGGGGGCACAGGAGGTGATGAATCAGTGGCAGGGAGAGTGATGTAGAGAGAGACAGGAAAATTCTTATAGGGAGAGACCCAAATATGAGGGGATATGATTAAAGTAGCTAAAATATTTAAGAAAGTCCCAGTCTTGGTGACCAGAGTCTTAGAACACTTCCACAAGGGGCCACTCCAAAAGTGCTAAAGAGCTAAGATGAGAGTAAATATTAGGAAGTACTATCTCCCACTGTATTGTATTACTTAGGGAATTCATTATTCCCAGATATAGCCCAAATCAACTTAACTCTATTCCTGGAGGCAGCTCAAAAATGCTTGTGTAAGTCTCTGTCCTCTGAGGCTGACATGAAGAAAGGGCAATGCAGTCCTTCCCCCTAGCATTCCTAGATGTCCCTGGATGGGGTGTGGCAAAGCACCTCTGTTGTCTCTAACAGCTGTTTGTTCTCCCCCACATAGGCTGAGCTTCATGGGCAGCACACCAGAGCCACTGTTACACAGCTCATCCTTACAGTCTTGTCTGTGGGAGAAGAACTATTTCCGGAACAAGGGAGGACTGGAACGAAGTAGCCTTGGAACACAGCACTCTCCACAGTCTTAAGGATTTTAGGACAGGAATGATCATAAATCATAAGATGATAGAAAGAGGATCAAGTCAGGAGTAGACAGACCTAATCCTAATATTTTCACCTAGCTCTCCCATGTTCTAGCTGTGTGGCCTGGTATAGATCATTTCATATCTCTGGGCTTTTGTATCACCATTTTCAGATCTGTTTCCTTCCCACCACTGGCTCATTTCAGGGCATCTTCAGTGAGGGCTAGGGGCAGGGCCTTGGGAGGAGCTTGAGTCAAAGCTGAGAGGTCAGTCCAATGTTCCACATCACCTCAGATATACAAATGTTACTTGAAGTTTTAATTTCTGCTTTCAGGAAATTACTGGAAATAAAATGTGCTGCTTCTTCTTCCTCTTTCTCCTTCCCCTTTTTGTCTTTGTTTTTCCTCTGGAGAGTGAAGAGCACAGTGTTAGCAGAGGTAGGAGGAGTGATCAAGGACTATTTGCATTTATCCTCCAAAGCGAGTCATCATGCAGTCTCCTGAAATCACAAGGGAGAAGAGTGAAGTTGAATCGAATCTTGCTGGTTTTGGTTACTCAGACTCTTTTGCCCAGTTCAGTAACTGGCAACTATTCCTAAAGGAAGAGTGTGCTGTGGGTCAGCAGACAGAGCAGATGACCCAACAGGTGGCTTAGCAAATCTTCACAAGAAAAAAAGGAAAGTAAGTTATAGCTCATGAAAATGTGCAGGTGGTATGGTGCTCAACTTAGATCTACCATAAAATCATGACATGGGATGTCAGGGACCTGGGGAGAGGAAAGCAGTCTTACAAAGCAAAGCAGTGGTAGAACCCCATACATAAAAGTGATGTTGCAATAGAAAACTTCCTTATTTGTAAGGTGAGAATAATACGAATGCCTTTATAACAGAGTTATAATGAAGATTAAATAAGATAATAAATGAATAAGAATGCACTTTATAAACCATAAAGTCCTATTTAAGTGCTACTTTCTATTATCAGTTATTCCAACTCTCGTCTCACAGAAGAGGAAACTGAGGTCCAATAAGGGAAGATAAGCTCCCTAAGATCACCCAACTAGAATGAGGCATATTCAAATCCCTTACAGATATATGATTGTCAAATATTTTCTACCATTCTGTGGGTTGTCTTTTCATTCTCTTGATAGTGTCCTTTGGAGCACAAATGGTTGTAATTTTGGTGAATTTCATGTATCAATTTTATCCTTGTTGCTTGTGTTTTGGCACCAAAGCTAGCAAGTCATTGCCTATTTTATGGTCATGACGACTTATATCTGTAGGGCACATGATGTGATGAGCACTGGGTGTTATACATAACTGATAAATTATTGAACATTACATCTGAAACTAATGATGTACTATATGTTGGCTAATCGAGTTTAAAAAACAACCAAAAAACCCAAAAAACAAAAGAAAAGACTTATATCTGCATTTTCTTCTAACAGTTTTTAGGTTTAGCGCTTACATTTAGATACAATCCATTTTGCATTCGTTTTGTATATGGTCTGATGGAGGGGGTCTCACTTCATTCTTTTATATGTGGATATCCAGTTGTCCTAGCAGGATCTGTTGAAAATACTATTTCTTACCATTGAATTTTCTCGGAACCCTTTTTTGAAAGTCAGTTGACTTCATATGTCAGGATTTATTTCTGAGATCTCAATTCTATTCCATTAATCTATTTTTACTCCATAAGCCAGTATCTCCCTGTCTTGATTAAAATAACTTGAACAATGTAATGTAAACTTTATGCCAGCATCTCTCTGTCTTGATTAATGTATCCTGTCTTGATAAATCATAGTTAAAATGAAAAAATAAATAATTCCTCAACTGTATAATAATAATAATAACAACAACAAATGTCTTTTGCTTCCTGCTTCCTCACCCCTAAATCCTATACTCCAGTTTCAAATTTTAGGTAATTTATTTATTTAGTTAGTTTTTTTGTCTTTTTTTTTTTACATCTAAGAAACTTACCCAGATCTTTCTTGATTTAATATCTTTGTAAAATTATTTTTAACTAAGTTTTTAAAAATTTAATTCCAGTATAGTTAACATACAATGTTACATTAGTTTTGTGTGTACAATATAGTGGTAAAATTCTATACATTACTCAGTGCTCTTGAGTATACACTTTAATCCCTATCACCTACTTCACCCATGTTCCACCCACCTCCCCTCTGGTAACCATCAGTTTGTTCTCTATAGTTAAGAGTTTGTTCCTTGGTTTTTCTCTTTTTTTTTTTTCCTTTGCTCATTTGTTTTGTTTCTTAAATTCCAAATTGGAGTGAAATCATATGATGTTTGTCTTTCTCTGAGTTATTTTGCTTACCATTATACTCTTTAGCTCCATCCCTGTTGTTGCAAATGGCGTGATTTCATTCCTTTTTATGGCTGAATAATATTCTACTGTGTGTGTGTGTGTGTGTGTGTGTACCACATCTTTTTTATTTAAAATCAATTAATTAACATAGAGTGTAT